ATTTTGTGAAACCCCAAAGTCTGGGAAGTTTATGTTTTTCTATGTTGATGTAGACTTTTTAATTTTTTTTACCACCTGGTGAAAGGAGCTGGTTCTAAAGGATTTCCTGGTTTCTGGTGCTCTTTCATAGTAAGTATTCTCCTACTAAAGTTTCTGATGAAAACAGAGCCCAATACTCAGAGCCTTTATAAGCTAGGTCTCTCTTTTAATTTAAATGAACTTGATATTTCAGTTTCATAATTTTTCCTATCTTCATCAAGGACACTTAGGTTATTTGATGAAGGCAAGTAAAAGAAGGTCAATTCTGATGCAGAAAATAGCTGACTCTGGGGAAACATCTTGGAGACAATTAAAAAAAGCCGAAAAATGCTGGTGCTATACACATGTGGCAGGAGGCTGTGTGTGGAGAAGAGATTATGTTTGGAGTTGTGAAATTATATGATTGTTCTGGAGGAATACTTTTTTTTTAAGTGATAAAGAAAGAAATTAAGAGGGGACATTTACAGTGCTTATAAATTCTTTAACAAATGAATATTTGCAAAGTCACTGTTCTGTCCAATGGGAAACAGGTTCATAGCTGAACCAAAGTGACTCTCTGCCTCCAACCCAATACTTTACTTAAGTTTTCTTGCTCTTTTCACAGAATGCGCTTACTTTCAACCTCTCCTAGGTCTCTTCCACAGCAGCTTTTCCTAGCCTTAGTTTCCTAGCTTCTTCCTTAGGAAATATTTACTCCTGAGCAAGGCACATTAGTGAAATAAGCTGATTAAATTTCCTCCTTGTTATACTCCTTTGATCAGATTTTTTTCTTGCTTCCTCTTTTTTTTTTTTTTAGGTTTCATTTCAAACTGAAGGGAGGGGATTGAGACTGCACTGTTCTTCAAAATCTTTAACTACACTATTAGACCCAGGTCAGCAAACAGTAGCCTTAGGGCCAGATCAGATTATAAAATAAGGTCACCAACAGTTTTTTTTTTTTTTTAAATAATAAAGGTTTATTAGAACACAGCCCCATCCATTCATGTATATACTATCTATGACTGTTTTCAGGGCTTCCCAGGTGGCATATGGCATCTGTGTTATCCATTGTATGTTAATGATGTGAATTAGTCCACATTTAGGATGCAGATATTTTGGGAGGGTACCCTTAGAACTGACAGAAGCGAATGCTATTTATTTGGTCAATATTCTGGTTCTTGGGAACTACTATCTGTGTTCCAGTCATGTACTGCTGAGGGGACAAAGACAGCTCAGGTTCTAGAAACTTTTCCCTTCCTCACAGATGTTTATGAAGATATGTAAATCTGATANCCACTAGGATTGTGCTATTCCACTCCAAAAGTCTCCCAGTTCTCCCTAGTCTTGGAAAGTCCATATTCTTTTGAGATGTAACATTAGTCTGTTTTTCCTATAATGGAGAAAGATGATATTGATTTGTCATCTTTCCCAGCTAACTCTTTTATCCATGGTGGTAAATTTGGAGAGGGCCACATGTGAACTCCTTGGTAATGCAGAACTGGTTTATTTGTCCATGTGCCTGTGAAGCATCCAAACAAGGTCAGATTTTGTAAGATTTGTGCGTTTGATTCATCATGCTCAGGAGGTGCTAATCTGTAGCAGACACCCAGGGTGGCCTACTTTGCCAATCATTCAAGGAAGCTATTAATTGAAAATGGACATGCAGCGGGACTCAGAGAGGGACTGATTTAATTGGAATTAGCTAATAGTGACATTTGGTTTTGAAAGTGAAATCCTTGGTGTGAACTGTTTTTGGTCACAAAAACAAAGAGAAAGCAGATAAAAATACATGTTAGAGCAGGTGGAGCAACAGTACCCCACTCTTTTAGGCTACGAGGAAGAACAAAGTAGGAAATGGAAAATTGTTCTCTAAAATATGTCACTAAAACCTGGTCAAGGTAGACTTGCCAGCATGGAACAGACATTGGAGCAGCTGTGTCCCCACGACTTCTGTGACCGCTGCTGTTCTGGCAGCATCTCTGAGGCCCTTCAGCCAAATCCTCACAGTGCCCGAGGCACACTTCAGTGGGTTAAAGCATCACAAAGCAAAGAATGTTAGTCCAGAAGGAATTTTGGTTTCATATGGCCTGCACCTACCTTTTCAGATGCATGTGCCAGCAAATTGTTGTATATTATCTCATTTAATTCTTTCAGAGCAGGTTTATTTCTTGCCATTGCCAGACTGAGGAGGACATTTAGTTCTACTTCAGAGACAAACAGCTTCCAATTCAACTGCCTGCCCATGGCAGTTTCATGCTGCATGCCCATGGGCAAGTGGTTTCATTCCTCACTACCAATTTGTAAGGAATGAAGGACATGATATTTGGAAAATCCATTGCATGGTGTCCCTTCCCCATTGCTCCTATTGTTATATAGCAACATAATTGTGATACCTGATATTTGTTTAATATGGTGTTAAGCACCTTACATGCATCATCTAATGTGACAATTTTATGAGACGGGTGCTATCAACAGCTTGTAGTTCAAGGTTAGCCCAGCTAGAAATATAAATACATACATTTACATGAATATTTATGTAATGTGTATGTAAAGGACATTGATCAAGGTCACATTGGTAAGTGACATGTCAACACTGAAGTCAAGTTTCATCTGACTCAAGTCCTTGCTATTTTTTTTTACAACCTCACTCATTCTATAGCAAAGGATTTAATGTTATAACATAAGTCATACACAAAGACTAAACTGTAGATAATGTCTTTATCTCTTGACCAAGTAGTGTCGGAATGTTTCAGTTGCAGATACGGAAATGTAAAGTATGAAAATTTAAGGTGACATGGTTAGTTCATTTTTACTACCATTAGAAAATGATGGTCTTATAGCTCTATCAGTAGTATGCGAACCTATGAGACCTGCAGTATTTTCATTGAATGGGAACATAATGTGTGCGTTGGTTATGAGCTGAGGCTCTTGGCCTTTAGTAGAGTTGGAAACTTCAACCATTTCAGCACCTCATCTAAAATTTCAGATTAAGAAAATTGGTATAAGGATATAAAGTGCTTGTATATAATAGATACTCAGTAAAGAGAGAAGCCTATATTTGACCTTTAGTTGCTTAGAAGGACAAACAGTATATGTTTTGTGTGACAAAAGAGATATTTCAAGACACTATTAAAATTTGGATATTCAAAATTTTAAGGAATAATATCCTTTTATATTGGGATTTTAGGTAGTATAAAGTATACTGGCCTTGGGAGTGATGTAACATATTTTCTTTCTTTTTTAAAAATTATTTATTTTATTTTATTTTGACATTTCTCAGTGATTTTATTTTATTTATTTATTTTTCTTTACTTTTTTTTAAAGGATTTGATTGATTGATTTTTTTACTTTACAACATTGTATTGGTTTCGCCATACATTTACATGAATCCGCCACCCGTGTACATGTGTTCCCCATCCTGAATCCCCCTCCCAACTTCCTTCCCATCCCATCCCTCTGGGTCACCCCAGTGCACCAGTTCCGAGCACCCTGTTTGTTTGTATGGAATAAAAGACATGATATTTGGAAAATCCATTGTGTGGTGTCCCTTCCCCATTGCTCCTAAAGTTATATAGCAACATAATTGTGATACTTGATATTTGTATAATATGATGTTAAGAACCCTACATACATCATCTACTGTGACAACTTTATGAGATGGGTGCTAGCAACAGCTTGTAGTTCAAGGTTACTCCAGCTAGAAATATAAATACATACATTTACATGCATATGTATATAATATGTATGTAAAGGACATTGATCAAGATCACATTAGTAAGTGACATGTCAGTACTGAACTGAAGTTAAGTTTTATCTGACTCAAGTCTTGCTATATTTTTTTTTTACAACATCACTCATTCTATAGCTTAAGGATTTAAGGTTATAACATAAACCATACCCACAGACTAGACTGTAGGTACTGTCTTTGTCTCTTGAAGAAGTAGTGTCAGAATGTTTAAACTGTAGATACAGTAATGTAAAGTGTGAAAATTTAGGGGGATATGATTAGTTCATTTTCACTACCATTAGAAAATGATGATTTTATACCTCTGTCAGTAGTATGGGAATCTCTGAGACCTGCAGTATTTTCATTGAATAGGAACATAATGTGTGCAGTGGTTATGATCTGAGGCTCTTGTCCTTTAGTAGAATTGGATACTTCAACCATTTCAGTATCTCATCTAAAATTTGGATTAAGAAAATTGGTATAAGGATGTAAAGTGCTTGTATTTAATAGATACTCAGTAAAGAGAGAATTGTGTATTTGACCTATAGTTGCTTAGAAGTGCCAACAGTATATGTCCTGTGTGACAAAAATATTTCAAAACACTATTAAAATTTGCAAATGCAAAATTTTAAGGCATAATATCCTTTTATATTGGGATTTTAGGTAGTATAAAGTATACTGGCCTTGGCAGTGATGTAGCATATTTTTTAAAGCACATTTGGATCGGTGTCTGGGCACACAGGCATATAATGTAGGAGTTGGATGCCACCTGTTTGAGGTATCTTAGTGCATTTCACTCACATTTTGAGTGTAAAACCAATGTAATGTTCATTTTGAACAGAGTGGTTCTGCTCTTTGGATGTGTAATGACCTCTGAGCACTCGTTGGAAGTTTCTGAGCTGCCATGAAAGTATTGATTATTTATCTGTAATTGGTAATTTTTAACCTAGTTCTGAGAATGGGTCACTCTGACTTGTCTAAAATTGTCAGTAAATTTTCTGTGAGCATGCAGTTTTTTTTCCACAGAGAGAAACAAAAAGGGTTCATTTTCAAAGTGTCCATGACAAAATGGTTAAGAAGCAAACCTTACTACTTAAATTAATAAATGTTAGTAACTTGGTATTACTCTTGGGATGTCTACAGCATGAGTCCGTATGATTATTCAACTTCCCCTTCATTACCAGAAGGCAGTGTGAATATATTTGGTGTTTTCAGGAAAGTTCAATATCTTTTTGTAATTCTTATTAATTTTCTTTCTTGTTGAGAAGATGGAAATGGCACTGTGACACAGTCTCCAGATCCCCATTGGCATAACAATCAACCTGTAAGTATATTCCTTCCTATTTTATTAGCCTGATTCACTTATATCTCTCTTCTGGAATCAAGTTACATTTAGAGATTTCTAGTGTCAGACTAGTCCACAGATTGATTCTTTCTAATTTAGAAAATAAAGGAAGAAAAGAATCTGACTCTTAAATAGGGATATTTTATTTAATTATAAAGTCTATATAGATGCACTGCTTTGTTAGAAATACCTGAAAAGTGATATTTTACTCTAGGCCCACATATACACCAGTACAGAATTTCTGCTGACCAGAAAATAAGAAAAAAAGTGTGAATTATTTCAGGCATAGTGAATTAACATTACATACCAAGAAAGACTTAAATCATTGTTAGAGAAATAACATGCCTTGAATTGATGTAGTGGAATGGGGGCCATCCCCACCAAAAATATTATGTCAATGAAAGTGCAATTCCTTAATCATAGGCCCCCTAATATCCTTTTCCAATCCAATTTTCCTCCTATAGAGAAAATTTGAGGCCACTGTTGGGTCTTTCTATATATAATCCTCCCCATATGATGACATATTAAGGTCCTAAGGTCTTCAACAACTTTGTAATTCTGTAATTTGTTCTCACACTTTTCCCACAGTTAGCTTGGGAAAAATCCAAGGGACTTATGGCACTGTGACACAGTCTCCAGATCCCCACTGGCATAACAATGAAACCGTAAGCATATTCCTTCCTATTTTATTAGCCTGATTCACTTATATGTCTCTTCTGGAATCAAGTTACATTTAGAGATTATTATTGTCAGACTAGTCCAGAGATTGACTTTTCCTAATTTAAAAAATAAAGGAAGAAAAGAATTTGACTCTTCAATAGGGATACTTTCATTAATTTTTAAAGTCTATACAGATGCACTAGTTTGTTAGAAATACCTGAAAAGTGATATTTTACTCTAGACACATTTATACACACCTAGGACAGAATTTCTCCTGCCAGAAAATAAGAAAAAAAAAGAGTGAATTATTTCAGGCATAGTGAATTAACATTACATACCGAGAAAGACTTAGATCATTGTTAGAGAAATAACATGCCTTGAATCGATGTAGTGGAATGGGGGCCATCCCCACCAAAAATATTATGTCAATGAAAGTGTGATTCCTTAAACATAGGTTCCCTAATATCCTTTTTCAATCCAATTTTCCTCCTATAGAGAAATTTTGAGGCCACTGCTGAGTCTTTCTATATATAATCCTCCCCATATGATGACATATTAAGGTCCTAAGGTCTTCAACAACTTTGTGATTCTATAATTTGTTCTCACACTTTTCCCAGTTAGCTTGGGAAAAATCCAAGGGACTATAGTCTCATGATGTTCATCAAAGCCTCATCTTTGTGTGTAAGTTAGAAGAATTTATCAGTGAGATTTTTACTTTTGGCTCCCTTTCACTTTGTGCAAATAACTCTTAGGAGCAAAAAACATGAACAGATTCAGGTATGAGAATAATCTTGATTGCAAGTGGTGAGAAATTGCATCATGGACATTGTAAGAGAAATTCAAGTTCAGGCAAAGTGGGGTTAATGTGATGTCACGTGGCCTTATATTGCATAACTTAGTGTAATGAGAACAGTACCACGTAGGAATGATATGAAAGATTTTAATCACTCTGATGATATGGGTACTGATTGATCTGATGGATATGGGCTGAATTTGTTTGTGCTTGTTAAATAGCAGAACTGCCACCATGTAAATGTCCTGTCAGTCAGACTTATGCTAGTTTAAAAAAAAGAAACAAACACTCTGAATGATAAGATTGTTTTTGACCTCAGTTACCTGCAGGACAGGTATATTTAGTAGCAATTAATCTCTTCTATATAATATAAGCAATATAGAAGCAAGTTCACAAAAGGTGGTAGCCCAATCGTGGACTTTTTGTGTCTTTACCGTGAAGATATCAAAGTGTCTCCCAGGTATCTTGAAACCAAGCAGCATATATTTCCACCCAGTAGGTCAACTTCTTGAGCTGCATCTTAAGGAGAGAATGAATATATACATAAAGATGTATAAAAAAAGATATACATTGTTGCTGTTTATTATCATGAAAATGTGACAAACAACCTAAACATTCCATAATAGGAGATTAATTACTTATCAATTAAGCATGCCCATTTATTGCCGTTAGCAATGTTGTCACTGCAGTGTACTTACTGCCATGAGAAGACAGTGTCAATTGTTAAATGAAAAAACTAAGTTTTCAAATAGCATTGGGACTTCCCTGACAGTCCAGTGATTAAGAGTCCATGCCTTCAATGAAGTAAGTACAGGTTCGATGGCTGATCAGGGAACTAAGATCCCACATGCCATGTAGCATTGCCAAAAAAGAAAAAAATATATATTTTTAAATATATATGTAGGTTATAGACACAAAATAAAATGATGTATATACTGTTGTTTGCATTGGATATGGTAAGTGTATCTGTTAAGAAAAGTATTAGAAGATAAAATTCTAGAAGAGTATGTAATGAAAAATGGTAATAGTAATTATTTCTCGATGTTGAAATTATGGTTGATTTTTGTTTTCCTTTCTTACTCCTGAGCTGCACGCTCTAAAATGAACTTCCAGTTTTTATGTAACATAATATTTTTTAAAAACCAAGCAAAGACTGCTTCCTGTAACCCTGTGTTCTTTCTAACTGCTTTACTTCCCACAAGTAAGGTGATAACACAGCTTTTCCCTCCCAAGGCGCTGACTGTATTCCATTTAGGCAAGGACAGCTCAGAGGCTAGGTCACCCTCCTCTGTATTCCTCTTAGTGTTTATCACGAGGTACCTGAAGTACCTTTCCCAAGAACCCTATTTAATCTGCATTTGACAGAAAAAGAGGTTTGGAGAGGCTAAATAACTTGCTAGGGTCACAGAGCAACTAAATAAAAGTTAATCTGGGATTCTGACTCCAGAGATTAAACTCTTATGCAGGAGGAGACTTGAGACTTAATCTTTTTCTCTGATTTTCCACTTCCTTTCTGTTAAAATACCTACCTGGTGGGACATCTTTAGAATTAGAATTAAGCTATGTAATGGAGGCAAGCATGATGGCCTGGTATGTTTTGGGTTTACTGTAGGAGGTGATGATCCCTCACACTAGGAATTTTTTTCCCAATTGCATAGCATTTAATTGTTAAGCAGAGCCATGAATCTGAGCAGCTACTTTCATGCCCATTTACAAAGACATAGAATCTTGAATTCTAGTTCAAAAAAGTGTTTTAATTAAAGGCCAGTTTCAGGAACTGAATACATACAAATAACACCACCATGGTAACTTGTATAGGAACCAAAATTGCTTTTTATTAGTATCATAAGAGGATTATTTATGAAAAGAGCTTATTATTTTTATAATATGTATAACTTATAATAATAAAGCACACTCATTTGAAGCATACAGTTTGAGTTTAACAAATCTGTACCCATCTCTAAATACCACAACAAGTAAGATGTAAACATTTCCACCACCCCCAAATACAGTTTGAATTTTGAGTTGTCTTAGAATTTCATCATAAGGCTATAACTTTACATCATTTGGTCTTATCCCTCATGATCCAGAACTAGCCAGGGGCTAAACAATATGTGTAAACAATAAACAATAATGTATCTGGGTATATTATTTTCTGAGATGTTACCTGCCTATAACTCTAACAAGATGGTTTTATTTTTCTGTTTTGTGTTTGATCTGCTGATGTTTCTGTAGCCTGCGGCACTGGCACAAGAAACATGGATGAGCACCAACAAGGGAGTCTACATTGGAATCTCTGTTACTGTTTTGGCATTGTTGCTCATGTTTGTGGTTTTCTGGATTAGGAGAAGTAAGTCACCTCAGGACTGAAATATTGAGGAATATTCTTGAGCCCACAGGAGTATTCTTGAGCCAAATGCATGTAGCTGCACATTCCATGTGATATCAGTTTCACGTAACTTCCTTGGTTCTTACCTTGTTCTTTCCTTATTTTTTATTTATCTTAAATTTATTGTTCCATAAACATGATATTTAAATTATTCATAGGAGAAATTAAATATGGAGAAATAAGCACTGGTTGTGTAAAGCTGAGATTTGGAAGTCAAAAGCCACTGTAATATACAAGATTTGTTCCCTCCCATTTTGTTCTTTTCCCATTCCCTCAATAACAAATTTTTATCCCTATTGGGGGTAAAGCTGTTGATGGTTTTATAACACCCACTTAATAGAAGAAGCACAAGTGACATTAGAAGGTATATGATTTTGGAGCTAGGAGAAGTACAAAGGGTTTCAGATGACAGTTATCCAATAACTCCTGGTCTCCTTCCAACATTTGTGTGTGTATGAGTGTGTAAAAACCATCTTCTATGGGAAAAGTGCAATATTCAGGGTTTTTTTCAGTGAAATATAATGGCATAATGTAAGCTAGGGCATGTAGGTCAATACACTAAACCTACGAATCACAAGATACTTTATACCAAGGGGCTACTTGGTTTCTGGAGATTCAAGAGAAGTTAGCTGGATTAGGTTAGGGTACAGATTGATTTTTTTTTCCTTCTTTTTAAAAATATTCTTTCTTCTAAATTAATCTTTTTTAGATTCTGAGAGCTGTACTGATTTTGCTTATATTAAAGTAAAAACCATAATAATATACTGGTTTGGAAGAAAAATCTCATGAACTCTTTGGCTTGCATGTTTAATTTTCTCTTCTTTTTCCCTTCAATTTAGGATATTTTTGCCTGGGTAGCAAGGTGGAGCTACTACGGTAAGTTTGAAATGGTTTGTGTTAGTAATTCCTTTTGATGTTCTTACTCTAGTAAACATAAGGAAAATTTCTCTGTCCCTCTCCTCTTTTCCTTCCGAGTTCTCCATTTATACTCTGGATCAGGAAAAATCTAGTATACAGAGCACCTCCATTGCTGTTCAACCTTCCAGTGATGATTTTAGCATCTCTATGCTGCTGCTGCNCCACTGTTCCCACCTCCCCTGTTGTTCCATAATCAGCCTGCTCTGTTGATTTACGTTAGTTGTCTGGCCTCATGGGGATTTCAATTCAAGTTTTTGCAAATTCACCCCTTCACCTTCATTTAATTTAATAAAAAATTAAATCTTCTTTGTAAGCATCCCCGAAGTCATTTTCCCAAATATCTGTAAAGGTAGGAAACCACTACCTACTTCCAACAAAATAACCTGTTTCATCTGGTCCAGCTTGGGCTTTAAGCGAAGTCATTCTTTGACTCCGAATTCCTCCCTCTTTAACTGCCATCCATTATTCTTAGTTCTCTTTCATTGGATATTTGTGCCCAATCTTTCCTCCATCTGAGTTAATCACATGAGCCAGTCCACAAAATTCGCCTTGAATAATCTCCAGCATATTGCAAGTGTTCCATAGACGCTGGATTTTTTTATTGTAGACATGCAGCAACAAACCTGTGAGACAGGTAGTAGTATTATTCTCGGTTGACAAATTAAAAAACAGTTTTAGAGATGTTAAGTGACATCCAAGGTCACATCACATAGCAGGTCTCTTAGAGTCCAAAACCAGACTTTTAGGACTTTTTGACTGTCAGCTTCCAAGAGTGGAAAAAAAAATAAGTACTCCCTACAGACAGAAAAGCATGAATGATAACATCCTTTTATTTCATTTTTGTTCTTTCAATGTTTACTTCTTTAAAGTTTCAGTTTTTAATCATCTAATTAGAAAAGAAAATATTTATTGTAGAAGATGCTGTATAATATAGGAAAGCAAACAAAACCAAAACAAAAAGGTGTATTTCCTCATGATGTTATTTTTGGGGCAGCTATATCAGGTTGACTCAATTTGAGCTGCTGACACCATGTATGACTAATCTGTTTAAAGATCAGAGCTGAGTGAAGATTCAGTGCATTTCATATTATTTCTGGGAAGGCTTAGGTAATAAATATAGTGACTACAGACAACTTCTAAAAAAGCATTGATATCAAAACTCCACAAATGACCTTTGTGCTCACACTTGATGTGTGAGCATTCATGATATAAAACTCATCTAACCCATGGCTTTCTAATTTTGACTGTTAAGGCAGGTTGTGAGTTTTGACTCTGTGATCTAGAACACACTTAGGTGAAGCAATACTATTTTACTACATCTGATATGCTCTGATATTTTGTATACTTATATATATTTATCTTAAATACAGGATACATACCACTAAATAACATTCGCTAAAGGGTCACAGTCCTCAGCTAGAAAAACACCAGCCAAACCATTTCCTGCCCATCTTTGCGACTGTGCATCCTGGTTTAGTACAATTTGATGTGTGGTATTTGTCTTCTTGGATTATAAATTTTTGTGTTCTATTGCACAAGTGTCTTGGAAGAGACCAGTGTGAGTTTTTTGAAACCGAAAGGTGTGACTTTCTACCTCCTTATTAAAAATAATTTCCTATAGCTTCATATTCACAATTCTGGAAGCTTCTATTCATTTCATAGGATGTTTGAATGGGGCTCTGAGAAATGCAAATACCCAGGCTTGAATGAACATAAACAAATAGGCTGCTCATACTTGAGAATGATCTTTTCTCTTACTCATGTTATTATTTTACAGTGTGATTCCATTGAAAGAGTCTGTCATTGGAGATTTGAAAAATGCAGCTCTGAAGCCTATCCAAGCAGAAAACGATATCTAAATTATTGAAGACTAAGTCCTGGATCCAGATTCTAAGGTGTTATGCCCTTGACTGTAGAAGACAGTGACCAGATACCGTGTCAGAGTCCTTTCAGTCAGCTGCACAATTTTCCAGTCAGTTTCCCATGGCGTTCCTATGAGGCAGGGACACTGGGTAGAGTGTTGCTAGCTCAACTGTGTAAAGTCAACTTCTGTCACAGAGTCCTACTTTTTTGTACTAAATTGGCTCAAATTTTCTGATCATTGCAGCTGCTGCTGCTGCTAGTCGCTTCTGTCGAATCGGACTCTGTGCGATCCTGTAGACAGCAGCCCACCAGGTTCTCCTGTCCTTGGGATTCTCCAGGGAAGAACACTGGAGTGGGTTGCCATTTCTTTCTCCAATGCCTGAAAGTGAAAAGTGATAGTGAAGTCGCTCAGTCGTGTCCTACTGTTAGCGACCCCATGGACCGCAGCCCACCAGGCTCCTCCGTCCCTGGGATTTTCCAGGCAAGAGTACTGGAGTGGGGTGCCATTGCCTTCTCTGGATCATTACAGAGGTCTCTTCAAAACATGAAACATACTTCTTAGAATTGTACATTCTCTTCAGACCTCATGAATCCTGTTTTCCATCAAGAATTCTCATTGGGAAGATGGAAAAAAACACGTCTACCTCAGTTATCAAGGCTATCAAGAATACCTGAATACAACTTAGAATCAGGGCATCTAATCTGGGTCTTAAAGGACTTAACATGCAAGCATTTCATGATTGTCCTTTTTTTTTTTTTTAAATCAAGTAAATCCAAATGTGATATTGCTTAGGGTCCCTAAAGTTTCAAATCATGGATGTATACAGGTTTTTATTTACCCAGTAGAAAAATAGAGGTGAGTGTGACTTTGCCATTATAGACAAATTTGGTTTCTCAGGGTTCTGGAAATACAAGGCACTAAATGCTTTCTTTGGGAGGAGGATGGTATTTTAACAGTTAGAAGAAGCAATGGTGTTGACTAGACCATGAAGACACCAGAAGAAAATCAACAGCCATATAATTTATGATATTTTTGCTACATCAGTGCCACAGTTCTAGGTGCTTATGTTGACAACTGGCATTCTCTGGTTTTTAGGATGAGGCAGGGCAGAAATAAATACAAGGAAAAAAGAGAGGGAGGCAGTAGCAAAAGAGGCTTTCTGTTTTAGAAAATGGAGTTTGCAAGTATAATAGTATTGTTTGAGAGTGTTACCAGTTTCTACAAAATGTAAATTGTCCTCAAACCACTTTCATTTTGAAAATTGTTTTGGAAGGATAAAAGGTCTTTTTCATATTGAATCAATACCTGTGTTATATTTCTTTCTCACAACTCAATTAAAATTTGGTTTTACCAGAAGAATTAGACAAAGGCTAAATGTAAGGATAATTTTAATCATTTAGAAGCATTTCCACAAGAACAGTTAAAAGACTGGAGATTAATTTCATTTTGAGTAAACTCTGAAATAACTCATGCTTGAGTAATTTGGGGGACATTCAGAGCTACTCACACCAAAGTGGTCCATGAGGGGTGGATGCTTGTTTTTGAAGGCAATGTTTTTGACACTTTCGTTAAATTCTTGGCAATTAAAATAGGACCTCTGAGTAAAGGTTATATGGTCAAAGAAGATTGCTAAACATTGTATGCTAGTTTTCACAAATGGGGCCAGATTAATCTGATTTAAAAAAAATTATGTTCCAACTACAATGTGTGTGTTTTTTTTTAATCCAAGACAACATGCATAAACATGCAGATTTCAAATTAAAGCCCAGATTTGTAACTTGTCAGGAAAACCCTGACAACGTTGGGCGGCGGCCCTATGCAGCCAGGGCCCCACTAGATGGCACCACGTCCCTCAGGCCTTGCCTTGCCTGCAGCCTCATGTTTGTTACCTGCTTTGTGTTTTGTGGGCATTTGAATTTATGATTCATGCTCTATTTTCTGTTTCCTTCCGGAAGTTTTGTGATGGAACATTATGGGTTCTGGGAATCTGCTTAACTTTAATTGGGCATTTTCACAATGTTGGAAACCCCTGGGCACAATGACTACTGGCATACCCAGTAGCATTCTGTGAAACAAGTCATGCAGCTTAGTAGAAAGCAGCTGGTTCACAGAATTAGAGACTGTCCCCGAGCTCTCATTCTGTCTTACCAGGAACATTGGATGACATTAGAGTGCTGCTGCTGCTGCTGCTAAGTCACTTCAGTCGTGTCTGACTCTGTGCGACCCCAAATAGGGCAGCCCACCAGGCTCCCCTGGCCCTGGGATTCTCCAGGCATGAACACTGGAGTGGGTTGCCATTTCCTTCTCCAATGCGTGAAAGTGAGGTCACTCAGTTGTGTCCGACTCTTCGCGACCCCATGGGCATTAGAGTAGGTCATTCTTAATGCCTAATTTTTAATGTATTTTCAAATGAAGTATAGGTGATTTACAATGTTGTCCTGATTTTTTTTACACCTATTAGAAATATTTCCACACATACATTGGTGTAGTAGTATTTCCAATGACATGTTATTTGGGAGAAAAATAGAAGTAAAAAAAAGAAAAACACTACAGAAATTCAGATTGTGTCTGTGTATATGTGGAGTTTGTAGTATGGGAGATCTATCATCAGTGGTCAGTATATAATTTCTGTGGTATTGCATTCAGAGGTTTCTTGCTATATGGTCCCTTATTATTTTTCTGAAAAAATGTATCGGGTTTAGAAAAGTTGATAATGGGTAATTTGGCTATCATAGTGTAGAAATTTTTTTTGATAACTGAGGGGAAGAATGGGCTTTTCAGGTGGTGTTAGTGTTAAAGAATCTGCCTGCCAATGCATGAAACTCAAGAGACACAGGTCCCATCCCTGGGTTGTGAAGATCCCCTGTAGTAGGAAATGTCAACCTGCTCCAGTAATCTTGCCTGGGAAATCCCATGGACAGAGGAGCCTGGTGGGCTACAGTCCATGGGGTTGCAAGGAGTTGAACACAGCTCATTGACTGAGCACACACACACAAGGGGAAGAATGGGTTAGAAGGAAGGACGGTAAGGTATTTAGTTAATATAGCATCTGGTCCCATCACTTCGTGGGAAATAGATGGGGAAACAGTGGAAATAGTGTCAGACTTTATTTTTTATTTATTATTTCACTGCAGATGGTGACTGCAGCCATGAAATTAAAAGACGCTTACTCCTTGGAAGGAAAATTATGACCAACCTAGACAGTATGTTAAAAAGCAGAGACATTACTTTGCCAACAAAGGTCCGTCTGGTCAAGGCTATGGTTTTTCCAGTGGTCATGTAGGGATGTGAGAGTTGGACTATTAAGAAAGCTGAGCACAGAATTGATGCTTTTTTTGAACTGTGGTGTTGGAGAAGACTCTTGAGAGTCCCTTGGACTGCAAGGAGATCCAACCAGTCCATCCTAGAGGAGATCAGTCCTGAGTGTTCATTGGAAGGACTGATGCTGAAGCTAAAACTCCAGTACTTTGGCCACCTCATGCAGAGCGTAGACTCATTGGAAAAGACCCTGATGCTGGGAAAGATTGAAGGCAGGAGGAGAAGGGGACAACAGAGGATGAGATAGCTGGATGGCATCACCGACTCGATGGACATGAGTTTGAGTAACTCCGGGAGTTGGTGATGGACAGGGAGGCCTGGCGTGCTGAGATTTATGGGGTCGCAAAGAGTTGGACACGACTGAGCAACTGAACTGAACTGAACTGAAATTATTTTCTGTGGGTATGCCAATAATATAGAATATATTGACCTTCGTTTTTGTCTTTTGAGATCATCGAGACTACATTTTCTACAATCTGCTTATGACATTAGGATACTGGTATAATTAAAACCAGGGCTATCCTGGTGGCTCAGTAGTAAAAGAATCCATCTGCCAATGGAAGAAATGTGTGTTCGATCCCTGAGTTGGGAAGATCCTCTGGAGAAGGAAATGGCAAACCCACTTTAGTATTCTTGCTTGGGAAATCCCATGGACAGGAGTCTAGTGGGTTACAGTTCCTGGGGTCACAGAAGAGTCAGACACAACTTTGCGAGTAAGCAACAACAACATAATTAAAACCATATATTTGAACTTAGAAATTTTGCACACTTTTAAATGTAGAGGAACCAGTCTTTCACTGATGGCTATAAAGATATTTTTGTGAGTACATGAAAGCATGAGGGACTCCCCATCACAAGTTTCATTTGTATGAACACTCATTAATTGAACACATTTTTGTTTTCATTTTCTAAAGTGACATATTTTCTTATTCTCATCATTTACTTGAGGCCAGGCATCCTCAACTTGCTGTGGGCTCTCAGGACAAGGATAAATGGGACCAGATTTGAGAGTCAAGGTGCCTGGCACTCCTTAGGTGCTGAGGTGAAGCAGAGAACAACCCTGAATTCAAGTTCCCGAGGAGCTCTATGCAGTAGGAAAGAAACCCCAACCTCATCAGTTCTGGTGCTGATGATGAGAAGCAAAAAAACGTAACACACTGATAGAGCTGAACTTCTCAAACATGGCATTTGGGTCCAGATAATGCGCTGTAGGAGGGGACTGTACTATGCATTATGGATTGTTCATCAATGTATCTGGCCTCTATTCGCTAGAGGGCACTTGTTTTCCCCCTACCCCAACCCCACCCCTTGGGAGTGACAACTGCAAAAGTCTGTAGACATTACCAGTGTCTCCCCTTAGAGAAAATATCACCCTTGGTTAAAAACTGCTGTGATAGAGATGCCTGGAGGGCATGGGGATGTGGAGAGCTGGTGTAGCTTTAGCTGGATTGGTTAGGAGCTGCCTCTGGGAAAGTGGGGATTTTGAGATGAAACTGAAGGAATGTGTAGATGGCAGAGATGTGGAAGAAATCCAGCAAGTGCAAAGGTGCTGAGGTAGAAAGAGCTTGTATATTAAGAGGGAGAAAGTAAGGTGTGTTTTAGTGTGGCTGAGGCAGAGTGATTGAGTAAGACTGAAAAGAAATGAAGCTGGAGGATCATGAACTGTTTCAGGTACTGATGCAAAGGGCTGTATGAATGTATCTGTTGGAGGAGAATCCCATTCTTGGAATAGAAAGCACTTTTGCTATCAAGGGTTAAGCCTGCAGAGTATATTTTAACATTTAT